ATTGCCGTGCGAGGTTTTTATCTAGTTGTGGCTAAGAGGGCATGCCACCTGGAAGTTGTATTACATAGTGGCTATTCTGGAAGGAGTTACAGTCTGTTTACAGTCTGTAAACATTAGACATTTGAAATAACTTTAGAGAAAAAAAATGATGTACTTAAATTTTTGCCCAGCTTAATTATGTATGAGAATCTCCTAGAGAGCTTTCTTTAAAATACAGATCCTTGAGCCCCACCCCAGAAGCTTCAAGAGTTGTCCAAGAATCTGTATTTCTTAAAATAAGCCTTCCTATTGGTTCTGATTTAATTTGTTCTTAGAACTGTACTTGAGAAGCACTGGAATTCAGTAAAATAATAAACTGAGTATAATAAAACCTTAGAGGATGACATATCCTGAATTTATTCCTTGATTTAACTAAACATATCAAAGCATCTAATATGTGCCAGGTATTATGCTATGTTGTAGGCCTACCAAGATGAATAATATGGTCCATGCTCTTAAGCTCAGAGTCTAATAGAAGAGATATCAGCAGATAAATAAGACAGTGTGGTTAGTGAAATGATAGAACTGTGCAGGATGTTATGGGAGCAAATAAGAAGAGTACCTAACTGGCCCTGATTGGTTTTGGAGCCAGGGAGGGTGGCAGGATCAACAAAGCTTCACTAAAGTAGTTGAGCTTTTTGATACCAGGTAACTGACTCCTTATAATACCTTGTATTGTTCGTTTCAGTGGTTTTGCTTAGAAATCTTGATAATATAAATTATAAATTTCCTTGCTTTCATAAACAGAATTCATGTGTTTAACCTTTTTATTGATGACTTAACATTTTCACATATTATCAGTTATTTATGCCTTATAGCAAAATAGTGATACCTTTTATCACAGTATACAAGATTACTTTCTATTATCCACAATGGTCCCCAACTGCTGTGATTTTGCTGTTGTCATTTTTGTGTCCTATCCTCTTTGTTGCCAGTCTGCTAATTGTCTTATCTTAATGTCAATGTGGCTATCTGTAGAATATCTTATTTACTTAAAGTTTTCCTTGGACAAAAGGATTTGGACCAAAAAAAAATGTGAATAAGTAAAAAGTATGAAGCATTCTGTTAAACATATATTGATATATGCATTTTATGACATCTATTTTAACTATTCAGCTATCTTGCTTTCTGTTATTTCAGAGCCATTTGATATACAGAATATAACTTCTTCGTTTTATAATCAAAGAAACTGAGACTCAAAGATATCAGGGATAATTATTAGCAATCAATGAATATAGTCTAGGCTTCCTGATACCAAAAGAGTTCCATTGTATAAAATGAGTAATTCTTAACTAGAGGTTACAGCAAAATCATTTGGAGAATTGTTCAAATTATGCATGCCAAGGACTGGACCCCAAAGTTACTGATTCAGTAAGTCTGACATGTATATTTCTTTTTTTTTAAGGACTTTTTTTTTCAGCTTTATTGAGATATAATTGACAAAAAAAGTTGTAAGATATTTAAAGTGTATATTGTAATGATTTACTATATTCTTACACATTGTGAAAGGATTCCTCCCATCCAGTTAATTAGCACATCCATCACCTCACATGTTTATTTATTATTTATTTGGTGAGAACATTTAAGTTCTATTCTCTTAGCATGTTTCGGTTATACTATAGAGTGTTATCAACTACAGTCACCATATCATACATTAGGTCCTCAGACCTTATTCATTTTAGAGCTGAAAATTTGTACCTTTATACCAATTTATCCCTATTTCCCCCACCCCTGCAACCCCTGGCAACCACTTTTCTATTTTCTGTTTCTATGAGTTTAACTTTTTATTTAGATTCTACATATAGGTGATAGCATGCAGTTGTTTTGTTTTTTTTTCTCTGAGTGGCTTGTTTCACGTAGCATAATTCCCTCAAGATCCAATCATGTTGTCTCAAATGGCAGGATTTCCCCACCGCCCCACCCCCCCACCCCCCCACCCCCGCCCCGTGGCTGAATAATGGGATAATATTCCATCTCATGGCTGTATATCACATCTTCTCTATTCCTTCATCCATTGACAGACACTTGAATTGTCTTCATATCTTGGCTGTTGTGCACAGAACATGGGAGTGCAGATACCTCTTCAGTATCCTGTTTTCATTTCCTTTGGATATATACCCAGAAGTGGGCTTGCTGGATCATATGGTAGTTCTATTTTTAACTTTTTGAGGAACCTTCATTCTGTTTCCATGGTGGCTGAACCAATTTACATTCCCACCAGTAGTGTACAAGGGTTCCCTTTTCTCCACATGCTTACCAACACTTGTTATCTCTTGTCTTTTTGATAACAGCCATATTAAGAGGTGTGAGGTGCTATCTCACACTTCTGATATTCATTTCCCTTCTGATTAGTGATATTGAGCACCGTTTCAGGTATTTGTTGACCATTTGTCTTCTTTGAAAAAATGTCTATTCAGTTCCTCTGCCCAATTTTTAAATTGGGTTTTTTGCTATTGAATTGTATTATTTCTTTATATATTTTGGATATTAACCCTTTATCAGATGTATGATTTGCAAATATTTTATCCCATTCCATAGGATGCCTTTTCACTTTGTTGCTCGTTTCCTTTGCTGTGTAGAAGCTGTTTTATTTGATGTAGTCCCACTTGTTTATTTTTTGCTTTTGTTGGCATGTATATTTCTAAAAAAAAACCTTGAAAGATTCTGATGTACACCCCTGAACCACTGTATTATAATCTGGCTCTTGTCTATATTCTAATAGATAAGGTTGCCATATATCAGATTTCGTTTCTGAAATGTAAGCAGTAAATTCTTATAGAGTCTAGACCATGAGAAAGAGAGAGATTTTGGAGTTTACTCTGAGTAAGAAAGTCATTGGAGAGTTTTGAATTGAAGGGGGATACGATCTAACTTTCATTTTAAAATGATCACTCTAGCTACTATATGGAGAACAAATGGAGGGTGGTGGGAAAGTGAGTCGGTGAGGCTCTAGTGGGAAAATCAGTTAGGGGATGATTACATTAATTCAGGCAAAGAGATAGATAGAGGCTTTGAGGGTGGTAATAGTTGAGATGGTTTGAAATGAACGGGTTTTGGATATTTTTTTAAGGCAAAAGCAACAATTTGCTGACAAATCAGATATGCAGTATGAGAGGAGTTAAGTTTTAAGTTAAGAGTTAAGTTAACGCTTAAGTTTTTGGCCCTTCAACTAACTAGAAGGCTAGAATTGCCTTTTACTGGATCAGAGAAAACTGGGAGAAGAATGGGTTTGGGAGGAAGATTGGGATATTATTTTTAAATATGTTAAATTTGAGGTGCCTGTTAGACATCCAAATTGTAGTTAGGTGATATGGTAGTCTGAGGTTCAAGGGACTGCTCCAGGATGTATATAAATTTGGAATTCATCAACGTATTTATGACATTTTAAATCATAAGAGTAGATGAAATTGTCAAAAGAGCAAGTGTTGCGAGATATCCAAGAACTAAACCTTGGAACACTCTAACAATTAAGAGGGTAGAGAGATGAGGACAACCCAAATGGAGACTGAAAAGGCTTAGCCAGTGAGGTGGGAAGAAAAGCAGAACAGTATGATATCCTGTAAGTTAAGTGAAGAAAGTATTGAAAGAGGAGTGATTAGTTTTATCAGATGATAGAGTAAGATGGAAACTATTCATTGATTGTTGGATTTAGCGGTGTGGAAGCCATTAATGACCTTGATAAGGAATATTTCAGTGGGGTGACTGGGACAAAAGGTGTGACAGGAATGAGTTCAAAAGAGAATATAAGGAAAAGAATTAGAGACAGTTGAGAAGAGACGACTCTTTGGAGGGCTTTTGCCGTAAAAAGGAATAGAGAAGTGGTTTGGCAGCTAGAGGAAGACATGAGGTCAAGAGAAGGTTATTTTTTAATTTTTTTTTTTGCGGTACGCTGGCCTCTCACTGTTGTGGCCTCTCCCGTTGCGGAGCACAGGCTCCGGACGCGCAGGCTCTGCAGCCATGGCTCACGGGCCCAGCCGCTCCGCGGCATGTGGGATCTTCCAGGACCGGGGCACGAACCCGTGTCCCCTGCATCGGCAGGCGGACTCTCAACCACTGTGCCACTAGGGAAGCCCAAGAGAAGGTTATTTTAAGGTGGGAAAAATTATGGCATGGTTGTTCGCTGGTGGGAATTATCCAACAGAGAGGGAAAATTTGATGATGAAAGGGAGAATTGATAGAGCTACCTCTTTGATAAGAAAGAAGGGATGGGATTTTATGCATAAGAAGGGGATTTGACCTTAGAGACACAGACAGTTTATCTATAATAGCTGCAAGGAAAGCAGATTATATGGGTACAGATGCAGGGGGTGGATAGATAAGCGAAGAGCAGGTTGTAGAGTTCTCTTCTGATTGCTTCTGTCTCTGGAAGCAAGATTATTAGCTGTGCCTGAGGACAAGGAAGAGAGATTGGAAGTTTGAAAAATAGGAGTAAGTGTGAAATAGTTACCTAGGGGAGGAAAAGAGGAAATAGACTATGGAACTGATTGAAGGAGAGCTCCAAAGGTAGACTTGAATTTAAAATGAATCCAGTTAGCTTGAATGTATATTTTTCTGAACATTACACTTGCTAGCTGGGTTGCAGACATGGAATACAGGAAAAGGTGGATATAATCAGGGCTGGAGTTTTGTCTAATGAATACTATGTGAGGGAAGGGTAAAGGAGAGATTAAAATGACGAATAGCAGAATTTATGCTTAGTTAGGAAGGAAGTGAAGGTTTGGAAGTGGAAGAGGGGACTTTGGAAGGTGTTAGGATCCATGAACTATAGGGACCTTTGGGGTCAAAGATTATTATTAGAGTTGGAGTGTTAGAGAGAGGAAGCTGCAAAGATAGGAGGTGGTGATTAGAGAGTTAGAGGGTAAGCTGCTGATATGGAATGTTCAGTGCTTTAAAGTGGAATGAGGGTGTTTATGAGTTTTCTTAGTGGCTATAATAATTATTTTGATGGATTGATTTGTTAGGTTCATGACTACAAAGAAGGAACCCCAGAAGAGAAGACCTACTATATAGAATTTTGGGATGTTGGAGGCTCTGTGGGCAGTGCCAGCAGTGTGAAAAGCACAAGAGCAGTATTCTACAACTCTGTAAATGGTAAAACATTTTTTATTTTTACCATATATTAATGGTCTCAGATCATCTGATGAGGAATGCTGGACTCATCTTAATTTAAGAAAGATTTAAGATGCCCCCAACTCTTAATTTAAATCTGCATATCACATTCCAGTTCATGTTTTTTAGATTCTAACTATGTATTTCAGAACATTAGATATTTGCTTTGTCTAAGTGTTTCTATTTATATTATTGTCATAAACTAAATATTGAGAGATAGTTTGGGTACTCAACATAAAACATGGAACCTTCCAAAACACTGTCCCCTGGGAGTGCTGTTTCTTCAGTCAACTGAGTATATACCATTAGGAGTCCCATGGTCTAAGCCAGATGTCCCAGAGATACTGAGATTTTCTTTCATCTGCTCCTTAGAGTCCTGTGTAATTATAAAAGCTGCCTAAGGATGTTTTTAGGGGTGCAGAAATTTCATCCAGTTATAGATATACAAACACCTGGAGCAGACTTCCAGGTAGAGGTGTGTAATAGGACATAATTGCAGTTCATAGAGTGCCTACTCTGTGTCCAGGAACTAAACTACTGACACCTGTGATTTACCTATAGAATTTTTTTATCTTCTCTTTAATTCATTTTTTACCTTTTTTTTTTTACTGTGAAATATAATTTCAACTTCTCTTTGATTGATGTACCAAAAGATTTAGTATCTTACCCCTTCCTTTCTGGTAGATGCTTAGCTATTAATTGGCCTTCATTTATACTATGCTTAGATCTCATTCTATATTAAGTAAGCATTGTAATTATTCAGTACCATCTTCATTACTTATATTCCTCTTTCAATATCTTATCCCATATCATAAGGTGTTGTAGATACTTCAAAAAAGTAGAGAAGGCTCTTGCCATTGGATGCATACTGTAGAATACAGGATGAGTCATGTTAGTTCAGACCTATGTCACATTTAGCTCGGAATTCTATCTGAAAGTGTCACAATCTAATTGAAGAAACAAAATATTCATAAATGAAACAAAACACAGTTTAAGATGGTGACATTAATATATGACATCATAATGATACATGATAAAGTACATGATAATGGCATATATTAATAGAATGTATATAAATGAAAAAACAGTAAGATAAGACTGGTATAGTATTAGGGGACTTGCTAAAGAGCAGGAGAGAAAGAAATGAAGCCTGGTTTAGATCTAGGATCAAGTGATAAACTTGGATTATATCAGTCAAATGACTTGTCAAAGTTGATATCAATCTGATTTGGCAAAGAAAAGTTTGGATAAATAACACTTTTCCTGTTTAGATCTTTTTCAAAGAGTTAGGATAAAAATTATAAATAAATAATAAAGTTAAAGACCATTCAGATCCTAGCAACTTTATGGAATTCTGAGTTGTAAGCTTAGTAAGTACTGAAGAAATCCATCTAAATCCATATTTATTTGGTTATCTTTTCTATACCTTCTCTCCATTAGTGATTTGTGTCTTCCTTAAATATTATTGAAGTAATTTCATATATCCTATGTTAGTTTTACAAACAAGACTGAGAGATATTCCTGTTTCTTAAAAAAAAAACAAAACTCCCTATTAAGAGCAATCTTAATAGGGACTCACAGACATAGAAAACAAAATTATGGTTACCAAAGGGGAAAGGGAGGGAGGGATAAATTAGGAGTTTGGGATTAGCAGATACAAACTACTATATATAAGATAGATAAACAATAAGGTCCTACTGTATAGCACAGGGAACTATATTCAATATCTTGTAATAACCTATAATGGAGCAGGATCTGAATATACATATATATATATCTGAATCACTTTGCTGTACACCTGAAACTAACACAATATTGTAAATCAACTATACTTCAATGAAAAAGAAAGAAAAATCAGTTTCTGTGTTCTTCGAGCCTACCTCTGGAACATTTCTCTTGGTAGAAGCGTTCAAGGTTCTTTACTCCATCTACCATCCTTAGTTTTCTAAGAAACAGAGCATAAGGATCACTCCATTCAAATACAGTCTATTCTTAGCAATAACTTCCTTCCCTCAATACCCTACCTCTTCCCACTGTGATGAATGAGGCTGGTAATCCCCAAAGGAAACCTGTAAAATGTCTCTACCTCTCTATTTTTAAAGATTTAGAACATATTCTGATCAGCTATCACCCTGACTTCTTTCCTTTGGGCCTCACTGTGTCCCATCCCTTCTAGCTCATAATCTACAAAGCAGGAACTCTCAGCCCAAATGAAAGAAGGAAAATAAGGAAAAAGGTGCTCAATGCCCTTAAAAGCTCAAAAGCCTTAAATAGAGATCCTCAAAAAATAAACTCCTCCCTGTGCATCTAATAGCTCATTTAGGCCTTTGTAATCTTTTCACTCTCCCAACCAAACCCACCCATAGTTTTGTGGTATTTATACCTAGGAGATAAGGAGAGGAGAAAGTATCTTCCACTCCCTTTGCCCTGAAGTGACTTTATTCTGCCTTCCTCTAGTCTTTTACTGTCAGAATACTTGATTTCAAATTCCGCTACCCCACTTACCATGTGATCTAGGGTAAGTTACTCCACCTCTCTGAGCCTCAGTTTCCACATGTGTAAAATGAAGATAATAATTCTTACCTCATAGGACTGTTCTGAAAATCAAATTAGTTGCCAGTCGTAAAGCACAATATTTACCACATAAATACTGAACAAATGTTAGCTATATTCTTTAACGGTAGCTATTTATTCCTTTTTTAAAATCTGTCCTTGTTCATGTTTCCTTAATGCCTAATAGAGCCCCTCATTGAGGAAAGTAGAGTGAATGCAGTTGGACACGGGGGCAAGTGTCAGACCTCTATTTTTTCCAGATCCCAGGAGAGATACAGATTTATCTGAGCTAACTGGAACTAGTCAACTATAATTTGCACAAGCACCTTAGTTACACAATGTCTGTAAAAACTAGAGGAGCCAAATAATTCTAACTCTTATGCCCTTCTTTTTCAAATTTACATATCTTACATCTTGAAGATGGAAGAATCATCAGTTTCACATTCTCTTTTCACAGTAGAATCTGGGTAATATAGGCAAGGGTTGGGGGTTTAAAAGCCTATTGTCTCTTGATCACAAGATGGTACCCTAAATTTCACTAGGCATTAAAGCTTTTCCTTTTTTGTCAATATCATATTGTAATAACCTGCTTTACCTTTCTGTCTAGGATCTTAACTGATTCTGTTTAATTGTATTTCTAAACCTTATTACATTTTGCTGTTTTTCAATCTCTTAAAAGTCCATCTGTTTTCTACTATTCATACTTCTTGACTATCTTTTCCTACCTCCTTCTAGTGGCATATTTCTTTAGCTTTGTTAACTAGATCTCTTATAGGTAGAGCAAGCTTACATAGCTAGCCGTTAATCCGAAGAACTAAATGATTAGACTTTTGAGTTGATTAGGTTCAGGTGATCTACAAGAAAACATCTTGTCAGCTAAAGAATAGGAATTGTATCAAATTAAATCAATACCATTTTAATAAATTTTTATTATTAAATATTTTAATGAGTGTAAGTAATACGTGTATGTATGATGTCTATGACAGATGCATAGTGTGGAAAAAAATAACCTTTTTGAATGAATATAATCTCCTATATCCTTGAAGTAGTTTTGATTCTTTTTATTGATGAAGTAGTTCTGTAATCAGGACCAGGCAGAATAGGCACTCATTAAGTGTTGAATGAAGGAAAAAAGAAAAGACATTCTAAAAGTTTAATGACATCTGTCAGCCCTTGTAGAATTTTTTAAAAGTTATATAACTGACAAAGAAAAGCTTTTAGATAATTATTTTTAAATAATTATTTGCAAGAACTTACAGAGGAAATTTTAAAATAATTGTGTCTGAGTTTGTTAGTCATACCAAAATGCATTCAGTAAGCAACCTAATGTTTTGCCAATTGTGAAATGAAGAGGAGTTGTTACAGTATTGACATTATTTTCTTTGGTTATTTTAGGTATTATTTTAGTCCATGACTTAACAAATAAGAAGTCATCCCAAAACTTGTATCGTTGGTCATTGGAAGCTCTCAACAGGGATTTGGTGCCAACTGGAGTCTTGGTAACAAATGGGTAAGCCCAGATTACTTCACAGTTGGTTTGAAATGCTATAGCAATACCAGGAATGTACCCTCCAAAATAACATTCTGTAAAATGTTTGATTTGCAAATATTTTCTCCCACTCTGTAGATTGTCTTTTCATTCTCTTAACAGTATCTTTCACAAAGCAATAGTTTTTCATTTTGATGAAGTCTAATTTCTCTTTTATGTATTATGTTTTTAGAATCATGTATAACAACTCTTTGCCTAATCCCAGATCATGCAGGTTTTCTCCTGTGTTTCTTCTAGAAGTTTTACAGGTTTTGGTTTACTTTTAGATCTATGATCTGTTTTGAGTTAGTTATCATGTGTGAGGGTTTGGTTGAGGTCGATTTTTGTATATGAATGTCCAATTGTTCCAACATTATTTGTTTCTCTGAATCCTAATCTTCTTCATAATGGTAGTTAAATATAGTGGCCTGAAAGATGCAAGGTTTTTTGTTTTTGCCTAAGTGGTACGAGCATATAATACAATACCTGGTTATCTGTCTCTTTGTGATGTTAAGGTGTTATCAGACTTATCCATTCATGATAAAATTCCCCATTTGCTTTTTACCTAATGATTTAAAAAGAAAAAAAGGATTTTGAGATCAAATTTCAAATTGGATATAAGATTTAATGAAAGAAAGTGGGAAAAAGGAAAATTAAAAAGAGAAATAAGAGAACAGATTGTAAATATACATATATTATGTGCAACATATATGTTACGTTACATATATACAATAAATATATATGTTAATGTACAAGAGATTATGAAAGACTGCAAGTGACAAATATGTGTATCAAAGATGATGTTTGATAAAATATATACAAAAAGTTGTATGTAAGCCAGAGTTAGAGTATAAGGGGAAAAAAGTCCTAAAGGAGGGCACTTTCAAAACTTTATTCTCTAATAAAGCAAATTTCAGTTTTGGACCTTGTCTCCTAAGTCAACATTGATGTTAGTAAGAAGAATCAAAGGCCTTGAACTCAAACTGTTGTTGGCTTTGATGCAGTAATTAGGATGATAGTGTTTTTATGAAATAGGAGGTAACATAATTCAAAACAATTTTGTTCCAAGTCTGAACAGTAACTGAGGCTCTGTAAGGTTATTGTGAAGGGCAAAAAGATTTGGTAAGTTCTTGTGCGCGGGCGCACACACAAACACAATTTAGATTATTCAAAGAGAAAGAAGAGTGATGTCAAAGGAAGGAAAAAAATTATGCTCACCTGGTTTGTATTGATTGGGTTATGCAATATTGATTTACTGTCATAAGGTGTTGCAACCAGATTTTGCTGACTGTTATAAACTGAGCTTATAATATGGCAGAACTCCAAATCTGTTTCATTTCTCACATGTGAGTAGAATTTATATTAATTGAACAACATTGGGCTCTATGTTCCTTTCAGTAATAGAAAGACAGTGACCCAAGGCCACTAACCCTAAGTGATTCTTACTACCTGTTCTGTGTCTCCCACAGCTCTCGTGTCAGGACAAACAACTATTTGGTACTTAATTCTTTCCTTTTACTATTCATTTTGCATTTCAGTTGTTTCTTTCCCTTTCCATTTTTTGAATCCATCTTTCCCCAGGCTGTAGCATCACCTATGGTTGATTTATACTGGCCTTCAGCATTCCTATTTCTGATTTTCCTAAAATGATCTATTTTTCTTTACTATTCATAGACAGAAATGAGTATGGTAGGTGTAAAGCTTATGCATACCCCAGGAGGTACCCAGAAGCTTGACATTTTCCCCTCTGGCAAAAGGCGTGACTGCCATGATAGGGTACTGGGTTTTCTCTCCACGGAGGTTTGAATCCACTCTCTGCATCTACCCAGAAAAATTCCTGAGCTGTTAGCCTTAGAAGACAGAGCTTTGGGAGAAGTCAAGTCAACCTACTTTCATATACCTGGTGGGCACTCAGTTTATTCAAGTAGTCTATAAAGACTCATGGGACAAATTTTGAGTAGTTGAATTAATAGTTGGAACTTGAAAGATGGCGAGGATTGATTGAGAAAATGAACAACTAGGTGGGAGAAAAGTAAGTTTATAGGTAATGGGTGAGCAACAGTCAGTGAAGTATCTGTAAAATAGTGCGAGTAGTTGCATTTAAATATTACACATCTACATCAGAAAGGTAAATTCTATTCACCTCTTCATTATTATTTATCACAGGGATTATGACCGGGAACAGTTTGCTGATAACCAAATCCCACTGTTGGTAATAGGGACTAAACTGGATCAGATTCATGAAACCAAGCGCCATGAAGTTTTAACTAGGACTGCTTTCCTGGCTGAGGATTTCAATGCAGAAGAGATTAATTTGGTGTGTATTTTTTACTAATGCATGTTTGTATTATTATCAGGTAAAGGCAAAACCAAAGACTTCGAAAGTTCTGTATTCTCACAGAGGAAGCTTTATATTTGAAATCAGGCATTTGGGTTCTAGTCCAAAAGGTAATGAAGATTGGAGCCAACATAGATTATGAGATGGGCAAAGCCTCCTTATATGCTGACCTGTTGGAATGTTCAAACTTTGTTTTATTCTTGCTTTAGAAAAGCCTCTTAGCTTCTTAAACTACAGAATTTACCTTAAAGGGTAAACAAGTATATAAATGAGAAAATTACAAACTGTAAACTAGGAGTGCTTCATAAGCATTAGTTTATATAAACTAATGTATAGTTAGTAATGTATAAGCATTAGTTTATACAATGGATTGAGTCCCTTCCTGAGACATTTAGCTCAATTAGAACTGGACATTAAGAAGGCTAGAAAAGTTCTCATATAAGCTAGTTAGTGTTGCCTAGAGAATGATCCTGGCCAGCAGCTTCAGTCATGGTTTATATGTCATTGTTCGCAAGTGGGATTTCTGCAGCATATCAACGCACTGGCATTCCAGACGTGGTGGTGGTAGTTTAATACCACTAATGGCTAACATTCATTAAGGACTTATTAGTGCCAAGCACTGTTCTAGTGCTTTATGTACATTATCTCACATGCATCGTCTTCACATCAATCCTATAAGGTAGGTACTATAAATACCTCCATTTTAAAAATGAAGACTAGAAGCAAAGAGGGGTAATTAGGCCAAGGTTACACAGGTCAAACCAGGCACTCTGACTCCAGAGCCCATGCTCTACAACTAAGCCTGTTTTCCACTTAATTATCCTTCACCTAACATTTAGAATCTCAGAGCTGAAAGAATTGTTAGAAATCATCTAGATCACCAATTACTCAAACCTGACTGTGTATTCAATATTATGTGAAAATTTTTGAATAAATGCCCCACAGCTGGAGCTTTTTATTCATAAGGTTTGACAGAAGGACTCAGTAATTTTTTTTTTTTTTTTTTTTTTTTTTGCGATACGCAGGCCTCTCACTGTTGTGGTCTCTCCCGTTGCGGAGCACAGGCTCCGGACGCACAGGCTCAGCGGCCATGGCTCACGGGCCCAGCCACTCTGCGGCATGTGGGATCTTCCCGGACTGGGGCACGAACCCTTGTCCCCTGCATGGGCAGGCGGACTCTCAACCACTGTGCCACTAGGGAAGCCCCGGACTCAGTAATTTTAACTAATAACTCAGCTGATTCTGATGCCCTTTCTCTGTGAATCAACATTGGTGAACGCGGCTTAGTTCAACTCCACCTGTACCCCCATAATTGAGTCAGCTTCTGCCTGCCATTCCATTGTTTTTTACATTCTGCTTTGCAGTGGAGATGCTTTATTTTTCTCAGCTGCCACCATGGAATATTCAGCATAAATGCCCAGGTAGTCAACACTGGACCATCATATTCCAGAGAATTCCTGTTACATAGAATATATAATATCCTTGTCAAAGAAGTACTACTTTGTTTGAACATTGTTTCCAAAGGGAAATTTACCACTGAATAGCTTAATTTGTTCCAGCAATTACTTTTTTTTTTAATAATAAAAGTAGCTGGCATTTATTAAGTGCTTACACATGCTAGACACATACTATTTTACTTTTAATGTATTTTAGAATGTATCTGTTTCCAGTGCCTGTGGGTTTCTGTGACAATCATCTAGATATGTGTTTTTCGTATTTTACTTGCAAAGTCAGGGCAATCTTTAATTGTTAACAAAATGTAAAGGTACTCAAGTGGCAAACATGGTCTTCACAGAATTCACATACAACATACTTATGGCCTTTTATCAGTGTACACCTTCAAGAACACAGCAGAAACAAGAGGGTCTTGAGGATGCAGGGAAGAAAAAATGAGGAGGAAAATTGGATAAGAGTTTCAAAAAGAGGTGACAGTCAAAAAGACTCAGCAAGTAAATATAAAGTCTCAAGTAAAAACTAATTTAACACTGTTAGTGCTAGCATCTTTGGTTACTGTATGAATTTACTTAAAATTATTAAAAAGTAAGAATTAACTGTATACATCAAAGATAGAATCAAAGCTTTCTTGTGCCTGGAACAAAAGAAGACAAGTTGTTTAAATTATAAACAGGGAGGAGATTACTTATTTTTTTAAATCCTATTAGGTTTTTTTGTGTCTAGCACAAATTTTCCTCTGTTGTGTTTACTTCAAAGTGATCATTCTGAAGCATCTTCCCTAGTTAATGTGTCTTTCTCAAGCTTAGGCAAGCATTTAGAGCTATCAGTTTTCAGGCTTTGCCCTACACTATGATCAATAGCAGATACTTATAGTTCTTTCAGATCTAAAATTCTCTTCTAAAATCATAGGGTTTCTCTAGCCTGGTCAACCTGAAATTGTGGAGGCTTAGAAATAAGTTTTGGGGAGGTTTTTTCTGTTTGTTTGATGTTTGATTTAATTTTTGTATTTAGTACTTTAGCTCTATTTGGAGTCAACTCTGAAGTCTTTTGACAATCTGATGATTATGTGATCAATATCTGTTTTGTAAAACATATCTAATACAGATCTAGTTAAGGTTTGTCTTTTATATGCCTCAGTTGCTGTATAAATGTGTTCAAACATGATTTCAAATACAACAGTTTACACGATGACATTTCAGTCTGCTTAATCCATATATAGAATTATCTTTTATTATGTTAGGTGCTTTTGTGTCTGAAAATTCAATCTGATGGCATTTTCTTGGGATGAAGAAAGAAGGAAACTAATATTTCAGTACCTACTATGTGTCAGACATGCATTATCTCATTTAATTTTCACAAAAATCCTATGGGTTAAGTATCGCTATCTCCATTTCACAAATGAATAAGCTCAACTTTAAAGGTTTAGTAACCTAACCAATGTCACACAATCTAGAGATGTTGGGATAGATACTCAGATTCAGAGCCTGCTGGCTTCAAAGACCTCTGATTTTTCTTTTACTCTATGATCTTTGAAAAGTTGTAGTCTCTCTTTTCTTTTGTGGTTTTGGAAAATGTATAGCTTCTGGTCAGAGTTTAAAATGTGAGCCTTGAATGTTGTATATTGGTAAAATAGGGATTGTTACAAAATGCATTGTGGGCTTAGAGATTACAATCAGAATAAATGCAACAATAATAACTTCAGTGATTTCCCAAGGGACACAGGTGATCTATAACTGAAAAAATAAATACTATCCTTGCAAAGGAGCCTATATGATATCCCCATGGTTGGGTCTTAGGTGGCATTTGAGGTACAAATCAAAGTACTCAGTCGCTTAAGTTGGCAAGTCAATGATGACAAGCTAAGGCAATTCAACACTGGAATTCCAGGAAAGGGATAGTAAACCTTTTAAGGTCTTTACTAATCATTGCAATGCACTAGTCACTTCATTATAATGTTTCAGATTCTTTTGTCTCTTCAGAGCCCCATTTTTTCCTATTTGTATCCTAATAGTAAATATCTGTTGTTTATTATTAAAAATAATATTTAATGATATTTTAAAATAAACTTTTCTATTGTTTATTTTAACCAAAAAATATATCTATTGTTTATTATTATCTTTATGGCCTACCAAGAGATGTAGTGCCTTGCATTCAGTGAGTGAGAAATCCCTGGCCACCGTTCTGTTTGTTTTTTGCTCCTCCTGCTCTCTGTTTTCATGCTTCCTACTATTCCTAAGAACTTCATAGTACTTAAGTTAGTTGAGCACTGGTGAGTAACTAGTACTAAAAAGTGAAGTGTTGTCCTCAGAATGGGAGAAAATATTTGCAAACGAAGCAACTGACAAAGGATTCATCTCCAAAATATACAAGCAGCTCATGCAGCTCAATATCAGAAAAACAAACAACCCAATCCAAAAATGGGCAGAAGACCTAAATAGACATTTCTCCAAAGAAGATATACAGATTGCCAACAAACACATGAAAGGATGCTACAACATCACTAATCATTAGAGAAATGCAAATCAAGACCACAATGAGGTATCACCTCACAACGGTGAGAATGGCCATCCTCAAAAAATCTAGAAACAATAAATGCTGGAGAGGGTGTGGTGAAAAGGGAACCCTCTTGCACAGTTGGTGGGAATGTAAATTGATACAGCCACTATGGAGAACAGCATGGAGGTTCCTTAAAAAACTAAAAAGAGAACTACCATATGACCCAGCAATCCCACTACTGGGCATATACCCTGAGAAAACCATAATTCAGAAACAGACATGTACTACAATGTTCATTGCAGGACTATTTAAAATAGCCAGGACATGGAAGCAACCTAAGTGTCCATCGACAGACGAATGGATAAAGAAGATGTGGCACATATATACGATGGAATATTACTTAGCCATAAAAAGAAACGAAATTGAGTTATTTGTAGTGAGGTGGATGGACCTAGAGTTTGTCATACAGAGTGAAGTAAGTCAGAAAGAGAAAAATAAATACCATATGCTAACACACATATATGGAATCTAAAAAAAAAATTAAAAATAGCTCTGATGAACCTAGGGGCAGGACAGGAATAAAGAAGCAGATGTAGAGAATGGACTTGAGGACACGGGGAGGGGGAAGTGAGAGAGTAGGAGCATTGACATGTATACACTACCAAATGTAAAATAGATGGCTAGTGGGAAGCAGCTGCATAGCACAGGGAGATCAGCTAGGTGACCACCGAGAGGGGTGGGACAGGGAGGGTGAGAGGGAGGTGCATGAGGGAGGGGATATGGGGATATATGTATACATATAGCTGATTCACTTTGTTATATAGCAGAAACTAACACACCATTGTAAAGCAATTATACTACAATAAAGATGTTTAAAAAAAAGTGTTTTTAATAGCTCTATTTCTGCTTTTGAAGGTAAATGTAGGCAGGTCACCTAATTAGTATGTTGGTTTTGTTGTTAGTAAGACATTAACAATCCTGTCTTCCTTTATGAATTATTTGATGATGAATACAGTGGTTCAGTGTCCTCTAAAATTGCCTAAATAACAAAGAGTAAGTGGCCTCACCTTCCTTTAGCACTTTCCTCTTTGCTGTGTGCATAATAATTTGAAAATTACTTGAATATTTTATGAGAGTATTATGCCTAATATTTTACTATAGAAATGTGCAAGAGAAACAGTAATGACTCACAAAGAGCTTATGTTTCCTAACGTTTAATTGTGGATCTTATGTTTTATCTTCTAGGATTGCACAAATCCACGGTACTTAGCTGCAGGTTCTTCCAATGCTGTCAAGCTCAGTAGGTTTTTTGATAAGGTAATGGCTTCAATTAAGTTATTTTTAAACTTAATTTATGTATTATGAGAGTTTCAATTCTTTGTAGAATGCTTTGTCCTTTTATTCCTTCATCCTAAACTTCACAGCCTGAATACTACTTGTTTTGATCTCTTATCTGTTGGTGTAATTGCTCAAGGCCTGCTGACATGTTTATTCTATCACCAGTGTTCTCTAAGCAAAGGATGAAAGCTACTGTATTCAAATGGGGTTTTTTAAGATACCTAATTCCCTCCTTAAAACAAGTTATGTTTCCATATTTTCTAGCATTTTTCTGCTTATTCACCACCCCCAAGTCCCCACAAAAGGCACTTAAACTGAGGACATTCTGCTTAAAGCCCTGAGTTATTTTTGCTCTCCCAGCTACTAATATTCTCCATATAAATGTTACTGTTACTTTTAAGGCTAGGTCATCTTCTTGATTCCCTAATTTTCCCTATCAGAAACCTTTGCATTCCAATTATTCACTGTTACCAGCATCATCTTATCGTCCAGAACAGGAATGAAAATGCAGCATTTTCAACATACTGGTAAATTAGAGCACTGTTTGTCTTTCCTTCACAAGGCCATACAGCTGCATTGCATATAATATTGACCAAGTTAAATTGTTTACCCAATGTTGACATTGTGTAGTAAAGTAAAATAGGATGTATTTCTGTATTATTATTGAAAAAAGATTAATTTCTGTCTTATATTTCCTTTTACAAGTAATCTCCCAAGAAAAAAATTTCCCTCCTCATAGCTCTTCTTTATGAATCGTTTTTCTTTTAACTATTTAGAAATCTAATATTTGGCTCTTTTGTCCAATAGGTCAGCATAAGATGAGCCCCACACTTCGTCCCTGTTTAATATTAGGCCACTGGGAAATTTTTGCTTTATTGCAGAACTTCCCAACTGGTGTGTGGCCAAAAGGGTACAGGTGCACTGAGATAGTGATCCCCTCAGTTCTCAGAGCAGCCAGAGCCCCTGGCCTGGCTCTTCCATTTACTCCATTTGTACATTTGCTAATGTATAAATATTAGCATTTTCTAAATGTGTCATGACATGAAAAAATGGTTGGAAGCACTGCAAGGAACCAAATTTTCTCTCCACATTGTTTTCAAACTTAAAACGTAAGAACTTCCATTTGTTTAGATCCGTGGCCGCTATCTATGTCCCCTAGGAGCAGCATCATATAGATCTGTGTCTGACATGGAAAGATCCCACAATATATTATTTAAATTTTAAATAATTTATTAATTTTAAAATTAAAAAAGTAAAATGTGGGCTTCCTTGGTGGCGCAGCGGTTGAGAGTCCGCCTGCCGATGCAGGGGACATGGGTTCGTGCTCCGGTCTGGGAAGATCCCACATGCCGTGGAGCGGCTAGGCCCATGAGCCACGGCCGCTGAGCCTGCGCATCCGGAGCCTGTACTCCGCAACGGGAGAAGCCACAACAGTGAGAGGCCCGCGTACCGCAAAAAATAAATAAATAAATAAATTAATTAAATGTAATGTAATAAGTTATATCCTACAGAAACAGTGGGTTATAGATCAGTGTGACCCAAGTTGTCAGGCAAGACTACTTAAAAAAAAAAAAATTAGAGGGAACTTAGTTGGTTTTAAGAAGAGAGCAAGTTTTGATAAGAGGAGACTTCCCTGGTGGTCCAGTGGTTAAGACTCCGCGCTCCCAATGCAGGGGGCCTGGGTTCAATCCCTGGTCAGGGAACTAGATCCCACATGCCACAGCAAAGATCCCTCATGCCAGCAACTAAGAGCTGGCACAGCCAAATAAATAAATAAATAATTTTTTAAAAAATGGTTTGATAAGAGGACATCGCAAGTTGAGGGCAGGGAATTATGAGCAAAATTGGAAAGCAACTTCTCTCTTGGTTTCCTAAATCACAAACGAAGTCAGGTGGATTAAGAGGTTGGCCAGGACTTCCCTGGTGGCACAGTGGTTAAGAATCCACCTGCCAAGGCAGGGGACATGGGTTCCCTGTTCCTGGAGGATCCCACATGCCACGGAGCAACTAAGCCTGTGCGCCACAACTACTGAGCCTGCACTCTAGTGCCCCGAGCCACAACTCCTGAGCCCACGCGCCACAGCTGTTGTAGCCAGCACGCCTAGAGCCTGTGCTCTGCAACAAGAGAAGCCACCGCAATGAGAAGACCGCGCGCCGCAACTAGAGAAAGCCTGCACGCAGCAACGAAGGCCCAATGCAGCCAAAAAATAATTAATTAATTAAAAAAAAAAAAAAAAAGGTGGGCCAGACCTCCAGACTGAGGTGGTTGCCTGAAAGCAAGGGACTTGGCAGCTAAGATATGACTTTACATCATATCTTCCAGAATTTAGTGTAAAGATTTCTTTTCCAAGGGACTTCCCTGATGGCGCAGTGGTTAAGAATCCACCTGCCAATGTAGGGGACACGGGTTTGAGCCCTGGTCTGGGAAGATCCCACAGGCTGCAGAACAACTAAGCCCACCAGCCGCAACTACTGAGCCCACGTGCTGCAACTACTGAAGCCCGTGTGCCTAGAGCCCATGCTCTGCAACAAGAGAAGCCACTACAATGAGAAGTCCATGCAGCGCAACGAAGAATAGACCCCGCTCGCTGCAACTAGAGAAAGCCCACGTGCAGCAACAAAGACTCAAAAATTAAATAAATAAAAGATTTCTTTTCCAAAGGGGAATCTAATCCTCTTCCACACTCCCTTCACTAATAGTAATTCCTAACCACTCTAGAGTAATAGAATTTTCCTGTCCTACCCTGGAGAGAGGAAGGAAAATCAGTCCTGTCATAGTTTTTGTGGTGTCAGGTATTTTAGATGGGTACTAATCATGAACCAGCTTTTCTACCTTTGAGGCCAGTGAGTGCAACTTTACCCTGAGTCTCTTGTGGCTAAAAGTAACCCATCCATAGTCTTGAAGATAAAAAGAATCCAGATGATATGGCTGTCAGGCCAATGCGTGCAAGCTGCTGCAGGCCTGGAAGAAGATGCTCTGCTTTATTTTGAGGAAGTTCCTAGCTTCATAATTCTAGATTCTAATGTCTTAATCTCCAGCTAATCTGTATTCTAATCTGCTGAACTTTTCTTAATCACATGTAAAGCTCTGTGTAAAGAAAATAATACTGCCTCTGTCACCATTGCAGTTTCTCAAGTGTTAGAACAGAGTTCTTTTTTTTTTTTTTTAATGTTTTTCATCATGTGAATGTAGAGAACAAATGTATGGACACCAAGGGGGGAAAGTGGCAGGGGGTGGGGGGATGAATTGGGAGATTTTGATTGACATGTATACACTAATATGTATAAAATAGATAGCTAATAACCTGCTGTATAAAAAATAAATAAAATAAAATTCAAAAAAAACATTTCTCATCATGTGAAAATATGGTGCTCTTAAACTCATTATGTTAGGGCATATATTTTAAGGGCTTCTTTTCAGTAGTAGTGATGGATTTGTACAGATACATCCACTGCTTTACCTTATTTCTTCTACTGACTAAATACAGACAATTCCGAAACTGCTGAATTAAGGGTGCAGATTAAGTCGGAAAAGAAGTTAATTGACTGCTTTTGATGTTGTGTCATCTGTCTCCATTAAGGACCGACAGAATTTACAACTGTGTTTACTAAAGGGATGTGGCAGTTTACTACATTATACAGACAGACTCCTCTTTAAAGAATAGGTATGCTATTGTAGTAGCAAAAGTGCTTTGCTTTTATCTTATGGATTCTGTTTGGTACCTTTTGGGGCTGACTACTAGGAAACTTTGAGCCAAATTTGCAGCCGTACACTAGGAATTGCATGGGATGTCATGTCACTCTCTGGTTATTTAGTCTTTTTTTGTTGTTCATGTATTTTTTGACCTATCATTAATGCTTTTTGGAACAAGAGGCAGGCTTTTATAAAAATACTTCCACAATCCTGATCTCATTAGCACCAGATTTAACTCATTGTACTAGATGTCTGTGCTGTTGAAAAGACTCTTAATTTGGGTATATACCTTTTAGTGCCGTTAGTGGCCATTGCAGTTACCACCTTTTCAAGGTATATGTGCTAAGCCCTTAAAATCTTTATTTGTTTTTCACAGGTCATAGAGAAGAGATACTTTTTAAGAGATGGTAATCAGGTCTGTACCTATCTTTTCTTGATAAAATGATTTCTTGAAATTGGAGAGAGGTTTGACTTATTTGAAATTAATTTCCAAATTTACTTTTGAAATTTTTTTTACAAAGTGGGGTCGGGGGGAGTCCTTTGCAGGCCCAAGCAACTGACTTTCTTCTGTCCTGTTAAATACAAAAGAAAAAATCAGATCAAGGGACAATAAAGGTCTAAGAAACAAAAAGAATCCAGAGATAAGTTTACATTATAAAATAATAGAATTGCTTGAGACTCCAAAGGCATATATCCAGAGTCTATCACAATGCAAATAATTCATATAAAAGTCCAATAGGTGAATATTATGAGATTCACCACCATCCTGTCTGATTTAGATGGCACTATCACCAATTGCTTGGCAAATGTTTTTCATTTTGGTAGAATTTATTTTTATTATTTAATCTGCTGTGGTTTTCTGAGTAAAACCGCAGAAAGATAGTTCTTTAAAGAACGACAGCCCAACATACAGAAACAGAAAATAAGGAGAACATTTTAAAGGCTATTCGCATTTGAACTCTGCCTGCTTGAGTCCTAATATGATTATCTTTCTTGCCTACAGATTCCAGGCTTTCCTGATCGAAAAAGGTTTGGGGGAGGAACATTAAAGAGCTTACATTATGACTGAATTACACTCATCCTTTGAAGAGTAAGCAAGCAGTGGCAGTTTTTCACAGCTTTCTTCTTGCTGTGTCAGTTATTAATGTCTCAGGCTTTTAACGAAATCATCTTAAAATGCCACCCTTCAGCCTCACCCTTTAATGGAAAACTGAAAGGAAGTAACAGCGTGGGAAGTCCAAACTTTGTCCCCATTCTCTCTGTTCCTCACCTTTCTGTCCCTGTTTATAGATTATATAAAAGCCTTGTGGAAATACGAGATGTCAAAATGATGCAGTAAATGAGCAGCGACAGAATGCTGCAGAGAAAATTTACTCTTGCCCAGAACTGGAGGGTTTTTATGGGTCTGTAATTTTCCCACATTCCTTGCTGAAGGCTTAATTAAGTACTTCAAAAATGTATCTCCTTCAAAAATGTATCTCTATTGTTTTACCTTCTGAGGGGAAAGGTTATGTTAACCAGCCCTGAGTTGTCCACCCCAAACACTCTCTGTCATTTTCAAAGAAGCAAAATGGTGTTATTTAACTGCCTCCACCTTCATCACACAAAAGGATGCCTAATAATAGCAACCCTTGTCTCTCTCTCCTCTCCTTTGCAAATGGCTCAGTGGCTCGAAGAGGCGGACTAATAGCTGGAGTTAAATATAAATAGATTAATAATACATAGAGAACAGCAGTACCAGAAAAGAAGAATTATGCGAGAAATTGACAGCTCACTAAATCCTTCACTCTTTAGGTTACAGCTGTCTGCACCCTCTTACTGTTTTCTGTTTGGAAATAGGTAGGGTGAAATCTAAGACCTGCACAAGGGCAGTAAGAGAGATTTACAGCCTCTTCAGTTTTTATTTTTATTTTTGAAGGAAAGATCAACTCCTAAAATGTCCCTTAACTATAGTCCGTAAACTAAGAATATTATTCTTTGTGTCAACAATGTATTTATGGAGAGAAGTAAAAATAACTTCCACAGCAACACATTTACATGAATTATGGACTAGGATTCTTGGATTTCATAATCCAAAATTTGGGGGGTGGTGTATATGCATAATTGTTCATCACTACTTTTTTTACCCATCTTTTTTGCTCGTGTACTTGCCTTTGCCCCAGTTTTTGTTAATATATAAACCTGTTTTACGAAAACTGTAATTTGCTGCCTTATTCAACAGCTCCTTTTCACATGTATTCTTCTCTCTAGGAGGTCTCTGCACTCCTGATTTTGCTCCATATTAAAGTATAATAATAATAAATACACAGTTTCAGCTTCTCATTTTAAAACTAGGGGAAAAAAACCACTAAAATCTCTTTCTATTCCATACTTTGGAAATCAAGGTGTGCTGAAAGAGGATATTAAAATGACGATGTTAGAGAGTGCTTTTAGAAAGTCTGTCTTGGGAATTTGGCAAGGAATTTTAAAGCACTTTTCATCAGCTAGAATTTTCTCCAGTCTTTCTTCACATCCTCCCCCACAAGAGTTAGCCCTGATTTCTTTTTTGACATAAAGGAGAGCTATGCAAATCAGGATCTGTGTGTGGAATTTGGCACAAGTATTTTGTGACAGTGGCTGTGCAGTTAAGAAGTAGAAACCAAATGCATATGCAGAAGACCTAAACCAACTGAAGCTCTTTGTATTCCTCTTTTAAAAAATAAATCAATAACCCTTAATTAGAAAGAAGATCTATTCCAATTTCTCTATTTTCTCCCTTATTAAAAAATAAGATGAAAATAACCTATCACTGATGGCTTCAGGGTCAACCTTGAAAAATTAACAATACTCAACTTCATTTGTTCTTGCTGTCAGGCTTGACTCCTGAATTACAGTTTTCTAAGAAAAAATGATTTTAATCATCTAAGGTAAGTTTGTTGCAGCATTAGTAGCAGCAAAATAAGGTTGTTGGCCAAAGTGAATGTTATTAGCCAGAGTTCTTCAAAAAGAATCTTTTGAAGCATAATTTTTGCTAAGACTTCCTGAGACCTGCTCATAAAAATTGCTTTTAGGTAATAACAAGTTTAAATACCAAATACTTCCTAAAAAGTGTTAATTAAAGCTTTAATTTTCTTACTTTCTTGATGGAACAAATTGCTACCTATAAGAGAACTTTTTTTTTTCCCCTGTTGTGATTCAGATGTCTAACCAACGTTCTTACTCACTGTGGAGGCAACCAGATATGAAGATCTGTAGCCACTCATCTGTCCCCCAGGAGGCTTAGTTGGAATCCAACTAAGGATTTGGGTTGGTCTCTCTACCTTAGTGCTCTAGAGAGAGAGCCACTCCCAAAGGGGTTGATCCATATCAGCTTTACTCAGGTTCTCAAAAGTCCCTGAACTTGGGACATCTATGATATAATCCAGGTGCCGTGACACTGCTGTTTTTCTCCATTCTGGAAGTGGACTGCATAGAACTGATGTGCTGGGCCATCCGACTGAGGTGAAGAGCTCCTAACCACTGCCATAATCAGAGCTTCTGAGTCTTCATTTCAACAGGGTATGCTTTAGCACCCAACCTAGGTAGGGCCTTATATGGGTATCTAAATGTTGGTTTAATTGAAATTTTTAAAGCACAGGTAGCATCTATTTTAAGAAGTTTGAAGTCTAACAGGATGTCTGCATTGATTTAACATCTGTTAAAATTCAAAGGAGGATACTCTGGGGGAAGGAGGAGTAGGAAGTTAAAAAATTCATTTCTCTATAGTCCCAAAACTGAGTTAAATTACTGTGGTAGAAGAGGAAGGGTTTCGGAAGATCTAGCACTGGGAGAACCCTGAGCCTCACATATTCCCCAGTATGTTTGCCTAATGCAGAATTGGAGTTGGAGCCTGCCAGCGCTGCTCCATAGAGTAGGAAAAGGATCCAACTTTGAGTAACAATTAATAAGCACCTACATTTAAGGACTCAAAGCAATGGCTTTCAAACTCAAAAGTGTATGAAAGTCCTCTGAAGTGCTTGTTTAAAATGCAGATTCCAGGATTTCTTCTGCCCCCCCTCGCCCAATTCTATGTATATGGGATAGAGCCAGGATTTTGTATTTTTAACAAGCAAACCAGGTGATTTTGATGCAGGTAGCTCAGGATCCACCCTTTGAAAAAAATAAATCCACTTCTCCCTCCCAAGGCTACACATGCCACAGCAATCGTAGCGTGATTGTCACATCCTCTATTGGCAAAACAGGAAATATTTGTCTTCGATGTACTGCTACCCATTTTTAATACTAGCACTTTCTACCCTCTGGGTATATCTATTTCTAATGAAATGCCTTGCCATCTTATACATAGCCCCTCTCTTATACCACATTTGTTTTCTCAGCTGGCCAACCACTAAGCTTTACCAAGATCATTAATAAGTAAAGGTGAAGAATGAAACCCCTAAACTTCAACAAAGATGTAAAATCTTGCTCAGTACCATCAAATATATCAGGTAATCCATCAGTTTCATTTTTTTCTTGGAGACATCAGTCCTGAAGTCCTCCGTCCTCTAACTGCACTCTGGAGTGATTGCTCTCTAGGCCTTGCCACTTGTCCTTCACATCACTCTGTAATAATCCCCAGTTTCCTAGATGTAATATTTTCCATTTTCTTGGTGTGGATCAGTGGTCTTCCAACTGGGATGTGTGGAAGAATCTCTTCCAAGAGGTACATGGGCACGGATAGTTTTAAGGGAATCATTTTCCAGATCACTAATTCTCATATGAATGTATCTTTGTTAAGATTGATCTGCTTGTGAAGCAGCTCGTGCTGGCTCTTATTTACCACCTCTACTTTCCCAATTGCCCGTTTCCCACTACAGAAAAAGAGCATCTCACTACTAGTGCAATAGAAATACGGCATATTGCCCAGGGGTGTAAATGTCTTCTGGATGCCAACAAAGGGACAATTCTAAATATTAGTTTTATTTAAGGATTTTGTCTGTTCCACTCCTCACAATTACAAAAAAAAAAAAAAATGCAGAGCTCTTAAGGAAGAGCTCCTGAGAACAAAGCAAAGAGCTTTGGTAGGAAACATCCAAGGCTGTGGCACATTCTTTCATGTCAAGTCTTCTTGCCTGGTCTATCAAAATATCAAAATAACATTTACATCAAAAATAATTATACAGGCAAAGGTATATAAAATTAACATTTTTATTTTCCTAACCCTTTCTGAGTAAATGAGTTAGACAAAGCACCTCCAAGTGAAAGGGTAACAGTTAAAGTCACTGATTCCAATAGCTGAGTAACAAAGCCTTTTCCAATCAGGTTTCCAATTATTTGCTTGCAACAAAATTGAAGAAGAACCAACCTGAGTTATTGACTGATAGGTCATTAAAATAATGTTTAATGATAGGTCAGTATGTGATTTTTGGTATTTAATTCAGAAGGAATTTGAGTGCTACCATAACAAAATCCCTTCCATTCATAACTGCTTATTTATGTGAACAAATTTTCTCAACATTTATGTCTATAAAAGTAAAAAATAGGATTAAATGATGCTGGATCCTGTGTCATTCTAGAAATAAGAATTATTCATGGATATTTGAATTAATGTGGGAGGGAGCCATCTACCTCATTAAAAGAAGCATTTCCAGAAAGACTTTGCCTTTTATATTTAATAATTATTTATCAAAATGTATAGTATTTATGGGACACTGTCCTAGAGAAGAATCCTCCAGTGTCCTGTCTGGAGGGTAAAACACTTGCTGATAGCATTCTGGAAATGCAATTGGAGAAGGAAGCTGGAGATTTCATCATCACTACACTGGGTTTTGGTCCTACTCCCCACTCCTGATGTTTGTGAGTCCAGAGCTTCTGCAGAGAGTAAACCTATCTTGTGCTAGAATCCAGAGGTGGCAGGTATCTGGTGTCTCCAATTTCTGGTCCTTTTCAAGTTCTCTTCACCTGTTCCCCATATCATTCACTGAATCCCTCTCCCTCTGCCTGGCTTTTGGCATCTTTGTTCTTATTGCTCACCACTTTGATACTGTGACTCTGCTCTGGTCCAGTATATGTTTGCCTTGTCCCTGCACACAACCTGCTTCTTCCACTGGGTGTCTTTTTTTTTTTTTTTTTTTTTTTTTTGGTTACTGGGGCCTCTCTCTTTTTTTGCCTCTCCTTTTGCAGAGCACAGGCTCCGGACGCGCAGGCTTAGCAGCCGTGGCTCACGGGCCCAGCCGCTCTGCAGCATGTGGGATCTTCCCGGACCGGGGCACAAACCCGTGTCCCCTGCATCGGCAGGCGGACTCTCAACCACTGCGCCACCAGGGAAGCCCTAGGTGTCTTTTTGAATGCTAATCACCCTGCCTAGAAGTTCCCCTCTTTCCCCTGCTTTAAATGTCTGCCAAAACTCCCCTTTCTGGAAGCCTTCCCTCACTAGACTCCTCCACTCTATTTCCATCAGTGCCCTAAAAACAGGTCTTTGAATGCACTGCACTTCTCTGTCTTTGTGTACAATCCTCCCTCTCCTCAGTGCCCTATCCGACTCTTACTCTGTGTGACTTGGCTCAGCTATCATCTCCTCAGGGAGCTAGTCAGAGCTCTGTGGTCCCTAGTCCCTCCCATAGCACCCTGACTCTTTCTTGTCACAGCACACATGGCACTCCATTGTAATGGCCTGTTTATTGGTCAATCTTCTCCAGCATGCGCCCTCCTACAGGACCAGACTCTCAATCATTTCTGTATGCCCCCACACCTCACAGGGCCTGGCACATAGCAGGTCCCCAATAATTGTAAGATAAATAAATAAGTGTGTGATTAGATTAAAATAGAAAGTCATCAGACATAGACTCAGAGCTATGTGTTCTGTATTTTATTTATTCTCATTTCTCCTGTGTGTGTATGGCACAGTACCTGGCACATAGTGGTTACAAAGCAAATACTCGTTTTCTTGAATTATTGTTACAAAAACAGAAAAAGACAGGAAATAAAGTGAACCCACTTGGGAGAAATCTCTAAATAGGGAATTGATAGGTTTATTCAATTTTAAATATTTTCAGGCCCCTCAAAATAATTTTCATCCAGTCAAGGATCTGTTACCAGTTTCTTACTCTTTCAGAAATCTCTCACACCTTAGGAAGGAACTGAAACACCTCTTAAATCTGCCTTCAAAGCTGATTTGGAAAGAACATATAAAGTTTATGGAAAAACAAAGCAGTAAAGCTTTTCCTTTGTCGTTTATTGGTTCCCATCCATTTTTCCCCCTAATCACCAAAGCCTAACTTCTATGATCAATAGAGATTCAAGACCCAATGTACTCATAAACTCAGATATGCAAGAAATATTTTTCTTGAATTCACTTTTGATTTT